CTGCGCCGGGCCGCGGGGCGACGGGGACCTGTCCCCGCACCCGTGTGTCCTTCTCCCACCTGGCAGCCTATTGCTCAAGGTCACTGCAGTAATTCCATCTGAGCCGCCGGGCGCTGCCGCCTTATCTCCCGCACAGCTTCTGTTTCACTCCCTTTATACTCTGGGGTGGGGATATTGTGTTTGATAAACCCCGCTGCTTTTAACGCCGCTGGAAGCCCTCTAGCCAGGGCCACGCTTCTCTCACCCCTGCCCCAGCCCCTGCTTCCCATCTCTTCCCATGCAGACTTCCCAGGCCATCTCGTGGCGGGTGAAGTCCAGCTGGGATCGGGACTCCGGCCAGGATGAGCAGTGCCGGAGCCTGCCACCTTGGACCTGGGGTTTGTCCTGCCAGGGGACCTGTTGGAGGCAGGAGGGACCGTCCTGCCCCGCAGGAGGAGTGCTGGTGTTTGCTGGGCCAGTGACACCTTTGGAAAATGCGACTTTATCTCCCTCCTGGGTGTTGGTGGAAAGTGGAGCGTGGAGCCAAGTCCTGGAGGACTTTGCTGCGTCGCTGCCCTTGTCCCGAAGGTGTTTCCATGCCAGGCGGGCAACGGCGTGGCTGTCCGCACCACAGGCTCTCCCGGCAGGATCCAAAGGCCGTGCCGACGGGCTGCATTGCGAAAGGGAATTGATACAGGGAAGCGTCTTGAAAGAAACTTTGGCCACCCGCGAGCGCAGCGGTGCCAGGCTCCTCTCTGACTCACGGGGGACGTTGCCGGCGGAGCCGTGGGGCGCCCAGCCGCTGGCCCGCAGGAGCAGGAGGTGCTGGACCGGTCGCACGGGTTGCACGGGAGCGTGGCGGGCACCGTGCGTGGCTCGTGGGCACGTCGGCATGGCCCCGGCCCAGCTCCAGCGGGAGGGAGCGGTGTCCTGAGCCAGGAGACGGCTGGACACAGCACAGTGGCTGCGGTCCAGGGAGGTACTGGCACCCCGATGGGTGGTGGGATGGAAACCAGTAATCGCTGTCTGCAGGTGCTGCTGCGCAGGGGAGATAGTCCTCTGCCCGCAAGCGTTATCTTGGACGGGGAAAAATTGCCAGTGAGTTTCGTGGCAGCTGCAGTGGGGGCTCCAGGCAGCCTCTGCCTCCTGGCTTTGCTCGGCCCTCCAATAAAACAAGGGTAAATGATGTCTTCCAATGGTGCAGGGAGAAAGTGAGGATTAGGACTAGCTCAGAGTAGGGGACAGAGTGGTGATGGGCTCATGTGAAGATGGGTCCAGACTGACCCATGTGATTTCTGCATCCGTCGGGTGCAGTGCGTCCCAAGGACGGGCACCGACCACCAGGAGGTACTAGGGCAGTTCCCGGACGCACCAGCTCCGGCCACCCTGGCTCTGGATCTAGGCACAGGGAAGGCTCAGGCAGTTTGAGGGTTTATGGAGCAGGGGGACTGTGTTATCCATCCCGCTCGCTGGCGCTGGAGCACCCTGAATTCGCAACCCCCCATCAGCATTCCCTACCTGCAGCTTCTCATGGCAGCAAAATTATTGACTTTGCTGGTAAAACCCACCTGAGCAGCCACCAGCGCTGGTAAGTTGTGGCAGGCTCTGACTCACAGCAGGGTTTTGGTTTTGCACGACACATCCTTGGTGGCACTGAGAGCCTTGGGGCGATGGCTGGGGCGAGCGGGGCTGCATGCGGCCGCAGATAGTGCATCTGGGGGTACAGGGGAGCCCCTGGCTGGTGTGAGGGCTGGGGGGCCTGAAACCAGCTTTGCTGGGACAGTGGGGCTGAGGCAGCCAGTATCTGGAGGAGGGAGCTGCCATTTTCAGGTGGTTACTTTTAGAAGCAGAAGTGCAGGGTAAAATCTCCTCCAAATGTTGCTGAATCTGGAGCCAAATCTCTTGGTGGCTCTGCGGTGCTGGGTATCAGCTTGCTATGAGATTTTTTTTCTTCCTCTTGAGCATTCTGCGTGTCTTGGGGCTAGCGAGCAGCGGCAGCCTGGCACAGTACACCTGACAATGGGCACCTCCACCTTGAGAAGCGTCCCAGGGGCCAGACGAGGGCTCTGGGGACAGGTCTTGGTGGTCAGGGTGGTGCTGATGGCTCTGTGTCCCTGTTCTCTGCTTCAGGCACCAGTGAGGCTGTGGCTGTGAGCACCCATCCCTTCTCCACTGTTCCTGCTCGCCGCCGGCGGGTCTCCAGCACCGCACAGCCATGACGACCTCGGCGCTGCGCCGGCAGGTGAAAAACATCGTGCACAACTACTCGGAGGCAGAAATCAAGGTGCGGGAGGCCACCTCCAATGACCCGTGGGGACCCCCCAGCTCCCTGATGTCGGAGATTGCCGACCTCACCTTCAACACGGTGGCCTTCGCTGAGGTCATGGGCATGATCTGGCGGCGGCTGAACGACAGCGGCAAGAACTGGCGTCACGTCTACAAAGCCCTCACCCTCCTGGACTACCTCATCAAAACCGGCTCTGAGAAGGTGACCCACCAATGCCGGGAGAACCTCTACACCATCCAGACGCTGAAGGACTTCCAGTACGTGGACCGGGATGGCAAGGACCAGGGCATCAACATCCGAGAGAAGGTGAAGCAGGTGATGGCACTGCTGAAGGACGAAGAGCGGCTGAAGCAGGAGCGGGCGCACGCACTGCAGACCAAGGAGCGCATGGCCCTGGAGGGCATGGGCAGCGGCAGCCACCAGGTCACCTATGGCCGTCGTGCATCGCCCTATGGTGACGACTATGGCCGGGCACGGGGCTCGCCCTCCTCCTTTAACTGTGAGTGCGGCTGGCGGGGGCCTGGGGGCTCGCACGTGGGGCTGGGGGCTCGCGGAGGCAGGCATTGCATTCGGTTTGGACCTGCCTGGTGCGATCACTCCCTGCCACCTTTTGGAGGGGTGGCGGTGGAACCTAACTGTATCCTGTGCTGTGGGCAGAGGTTTGGCTGGGCCAGCGGTGAACCCCAACAGTGGTGGCAGCTGGTGGTGCCCTGAACTTTAAACCCACAGCTCGTTTATGGTAGGGAGCTCCCAAGTGGGGCTACATCCTCTGGGGAAGCCATGATGCAGAGCTGCGGGCGTTGGGATGGGGCCTGGGGGAGGCTGCTCCCCAAAATAGCCCAGTCCTGATGCTGCTTCTTCCCCTTTTCCTCTGTTTTCTCCCAGCATCATCCTCATCCCCACGGTTCGCTTCTGACTTGGAGCAAGCGAGGCCCCAGACGACGGGCGAGGAGGAGCTGCAGCTGCAGCTTGCGCTGGCCATGAGTCGGGAGGAGGCGGAGAAGGTAGGGTGGCTCTGCCCGCCCCGGGGCACCTCCCTGCACCTTGCCTTGTCTGTGGGCATGGTGGGTCATTTCCCTGGGAGGAGGGAGGATTTTAGGGGCTGCCCAATGCTGGTGCATCCACCTGCAACCGCACAAGGCTGCTTGCACTACACCCAGCATCCAAAACCACCAGCAGCCAGATGGAGGCACGCCTGTCCCTGCTCCCCATCCTCCTACTGGCGGTGACAGCACCAGACTTAGACCCATCCAGCCTCCCAGACCCCAGGGTGAACTTGGGGAGGTGTCTTCTGGATTCACCACACCCCCTCCTGCAAACCCAGCTGCCCTCTTCTGCTGAGGGCTTCTGGTCTGAGCTCCCCTATTTCTCTTGCCTTCCCACGGGGGTTTTAGGAGGCAATGCCTTGCCCCACGCTGCGGTTTGTGTGGTGGTGGTGGTGGGGGCCAGCAGCATCCCCTGGGCTGTGGACCGGGCTGGGGGCTCGGTGGGGCCGGGTCCTCCCTCCCACTGGCTGGTCCTTTCAAACCGGGCCAGAAGGAGCACTGGAAAACAGCACCGGGAGGAGCCCAGCAGGGATGTGGGCAGCGAGCAAGCTGCTGTCCTCAGCTGTGAAACCACCCCCAGGGCTGTCCCCTCTCCTATCTGCTGGCCATGGCCCCTTTTCCAGGTGGGATGGCTTATTTGCACACCGCCGGAGATTGCTGCCGGCTGGCACGGCCCGTGCAGAGCATGCAGGTACAGCCGGACACACAATGTCAGAGGGACGTGGTGACCGAGGGGCTGTGAGCTCGGTCCTGCCAGGGCAGGGGACGTGCTTCGGAGACGGGGCTTGCTGCTGCACGTCTTCCCTGCCTGATAGAGGCTCTTTTGGAGACAGAGCAGAGTGAATATCCCTATTTTTGTCCTGGAATCGGAGTATTTATAGCTTCCACATGCTGCTGCGATGAGCACTGTAGAAAGATGCTCCTGAAAGCGGTGCCTGTTGGAGTCTGTCTGGGCTGCGCACACGTGTGCCCGCTCACACACACTTGTACAGGTGTGGACAGACGCACAGCCCCGCCGGGGTCCCCATTCCCAGCCCCAGCCAGTCCCACACTGCTGGACAAGCATCACGGGGTGGTGATCAGGGCTGCCATGGCGGTATGGGGACAGCCTCTCCCCAAAATCTGCCTCAGGCCTGGGAGCTTTTCCCCCAGCAGAGCAGGGCTGGGCAGGATTCCCAAACTGAGGGCGGTCGGCATCTCAAACTCTCCTCCCCAGCAGGCTGCCGGTGCGAGGGGACACCTAATTGATCCCCTCTCCTCTGCCAAGTCCCCAAAAACCTCCTGGGGGAGATGCTGGCTGCCTAGTTTTAGGGTTGTTCCAGCCTAGATGCAGAGGCAGGTGATGATGTAGGGGAAGGAGCTGGGGCAGTGGCCGCAGGGGGGCCTGAGCAGGAGCTGGTTCGGGAGCATAGGGTCAGTGGGCTGGGGATCTGCAGGCAAAGCCGGCTGGCTGGGCACGGAGATGCTGTGCAGTCAGGTGAGGGGCTGCAGGAGAGGTGGTGGCGAGGACAGGGACCTCCGAGCTGTCCCATGAGCTGAGGGCAAGCTGAAATGTCACCCAATTTGCTCTGTTGGCAGAAGCCACTTCCTCCAATTTCCAGTACAGATGAAGAAAGGCAATTGCAGCTAGCGCTCGCGCTGAGCAAAGAGGAGCATGAGAAGGTACCTGTGCCCCGCAGCCCCGGGCACTCCTCTCTCCTTGCACTTGGGCTTCTTTCTGGGGCACTGGAGCCCAAAACACTGCCTGGCTTTGGTGTCCGCTTTGCTTTCACTGCTCTGGGCTTTCTGCTGAGCACTCTCCTGGCAGGCTCGGCCCCGGAGGAGCCATCTGCTTGGATGCTGGGACTTTTCGGGGATGTGGTGGCAGCTCCTGTGCTGGATTTGTCTCCTGGAGGTGCTGGCTGCAGGGTTGCTGAGCTCATGGGCCCTGTCCCTTGTCCCCACAGGAGGTGAGGGCTTGGCAAGGGGAGAACTCCCTGCTGCAGAGAGCCATGGAGGAGACTGCCCAGGGCAGGGAGGAAGAGGAGGAAGAGGATAAGATGAAGAAAAGCCAGGTACAGCACTGGGGATCTGGATGGTCTCACAGCCAGCCTTGGATACCGGGGCGATCCTGCAGGTCTGCCCTGGGTTTCCCTCACCTCTTTATTCCTTTTCTGTTTGCAGTCCTCTATCCTGGAGCTGGCAGATATATTCGGGCCGGCACCAGCCCCCTCCAGCCACACGTCTGCTGACCCATGGGATATGCCAGGTGGGGGCAACTCGCAGGCTGCCAAAGCCTGGGACAGTGGCAGAAACCTTTCCCTTGCCTCTGTCTCTCCCCAGTCCTCAGGAGCTCAACAGCGAGGACCTCTTGCTTCTCCTCCCTCTGCTGCCCAGTCTGTTGCACACCCATGGGGTGCTGCTGCAAGCAGTGGTCCCCCAGGCACCCCCCTGCCCCTCAGCATCCCTCTGTGTCCTGCACCATTCCCCTCTTCCACAGCTTCCCTTCTTCTTTCAGATATGAAACCCAAAGCGGAGCCAGCAGCCTCTGCCTGGGCTGGTGCAGCTGACCCCTGGGTGCCAGTCCCAGCCACCGTCGGGGAGCCCCTCGCCCAGGCGAGCGCCTCGTCCCAGCAACCCTCTGCCGGGCCCTGGGATTTCCCCCCTGGCACCACTGCAGCCTCTGACCCTTGGGGGAAGGCTCCCTTGACTTCTGGCTTCCCTCCTGCGGACCCCTGGGGCACAGCGTCCCCCCCCACCCAGGCCACTGGTTCTATGCCAGCTCCTGACCCTTGGGCCGCTGTGGCTGAGCAACCTCCTAATCCTGGTAAGAGCCCGGATCGTCGTTTTGGCTTTGCTGGGCACCGCAGGCAGCGTTGGCCATCCCTGCGCTCCTGCAAGTGGGCATCCCGGGGTGCTCCCCCCCCTTCCTCCCACAGTCAGCTCTGCAAGCACCCCCTGCCCGCTCTCCTGCCCCGCAGTGGGACCTCTGCTCTCCCCTCAGCATCCTGGAGACTTCAAGGAGCTTTTAGGCTTTATCTCTGCACAGAATAGGCTGCTTTAATTAACATGGCACAGTTAACGGAGCCCTCCCGTGGGAGTGGACAGCAGGCGCCGCACCGCTCCAGCAGCGGGGTGATGGTGTCCCCCCCCTCGGTGATACCTGTTTGTCTGCTCACCCCAAACAGCCCTACGTGCCCTGCTGGGACGGGACGGTTGCTGCTTGCAGGTGCTGTGTTGCAGATGGGGAAGCGGTTGTAGGAGCAGCCTGTGTTTCAGAGCCCAGTGCCACTCTCAGTTCCTTCTCCGTGCTTCCTCTGGCTCCGAGGAGGGGCTGCCCTCAGTTTTGTTCCCTGGGGAGGAGAGCAGAATCTGACCTGGGGGTCAGTGCTGGTTGTTAAAGCATTCCTGTAGACCTGCCC